CGTAAAAATACACAATTCCATCCACTTACGAACTCTTGTCGTTGAACTAATTATTGTGTTCAATTTCTGAACTAATGACTAAAATAATAGCATCTTCCGAGGTGAAATGTTCCAGAAGCAAACAAATCCTTTGTTCGGATGCGAACTAAGTAGTTAACATGAGGTCATGGAATTTTACAGGAAGTCAAAGGAATTGGTAGATACGTTTAAAGAAGCAGAGTACCCCCAAAAGATGAACTGGAAAGGAAAGTGAGTACAAGAAGAGCATAGTGAAGGATGCAAATTTGGTACGTACGGAAAAGTCACATTAGAGTAGAAAAATTAGAAATAACATAGATAAAGTAGAAATTGTAAGAACCAATGACAGAATAATGTCAGTGAAATTTGTATTTCATAAAGAAGTGTTGAATGTTTGAGTGTGTATGCTCCTCATATGTGTATGATCAATTAGGAGACATACTTAGAGATAGACTAAAATAGGAGAGTCATAATAGGAGGCGAATGCATATGTGAGTCAATATAAAACAGGTAATGAAGCGCTAGGCTTTGGCACTAGCAATGATGCTGGAGGTATGTTGAAACTAGCAGTAGTAGTAGATACGTATAAGGATCGTTAATACATTCTTTCGAAAAAGAGAATGTCAATATACATACAAAAGTAAATAAGACAAAGTATTTTATTGTCCAATTTTCTATATTTTATCCTAAGACAACATGAGATATGTCAATTGAGATGCCAAGGAAGTCCTAATACAATTTTAATAAACATAACTAGCATTATTAGAGATATTGCAATTGAAACACTTGGAAAGACTTCAAGAAAGAAGTTTGGAAATGGTGATGGTCAAGCGAAATTCACCAAAAAATAAAAAAAGAAGAGAAACTGTATAAAACGTGACAATACGATAAGTCCGACACCGATTTTCAAAATTGTAAGGTTGCCAAAAATGAATCAAATCAAACCGAAGTAGTAGCAAGAGAAAGGACAGAAGTGTATATACAATGTCTATATAATGAACTTAATACCATGGAGCTTCAAAAATTGTATATAAAATAACCAAGATATTCTAATCAGATTAAATGTAAGTGAAACGACAATAACAAAATACCCGTGAACGAACAGGATGTCAAAAAACGGCAGGAAAAAAACTAGACAGTTTATTAAATAAACTTGATGGAAAAACAGTAGAACTAACGAAAACAGAAACACAAATGGTCACATAAATAACAAAATAGGAAATGGCTCAAGCTCAATGACCTCAAAATATCAAGGAAAAGCTAATTCGGTCTAAAATAAAATCCAAGTACTATTAGATGATTAAAAAAAACCTTGAGTGGGTTAGAAAGTCCAAGAGTATTTTCAGTTACGACAGTTGCTAAAAAGGTTGCATTTGCCGTTTCTCTGGCACTGAACATTATCCTGTATGATGAAGGATTCGCAAAAAAACTTATTGTGTATTGTCAAAAAATAATCGATGTGTACGAATTTACCGGGATAATACTCGCACTCTGAGCATTAAGTATGTATACAACATTAAATATTACAGAAACTAAAGTAAGTCCATTATATATGTTGATGAAACAAACATACATGATGGTAGGATGATAGATTGAACACTGGGAATAGCAGAACGGATGGCAGTTAGAATGAATGGATTAAAAGCGTTTTAAAAATATATTGTTTATTGTAGGTTGGTGGAGAAATCGAAAAATTAACATGAATTTCAAATTTATGAAAAATGGATAAGTAATATAAACGTTAATTTTAAATTTGCCAAATTAATAATGGTAACTAAAATTCACTCGTCTAATCAGTTTATAAGAAAATTCAGTAGATTGTGATATAACAATTGCATGATTTGAAGTTCAACTGATTACTGCTATAATTTTGATACATAATCTGTATGTAGCGGTGAATTCCCTGGTGACTTAGTGAGCGCTACCACAACGAAACGAACCGGAAATTAAAATAACGAAGAAAAATTAATTTGTTACTCATTAGTGTGTACAAGGAATTATACGATTTTGGTAACAAAAACTATTTCAAGAAAAGAAAGGAAAAGGGGAACTGTTTAAACTGTTAAAGGGAATATCAGAACATACTAGGCAACTATATATACGTTCTTTTGTCAGAATAAACTTTCTAAATGTTGCTTTGCGTTGTGAGATCAAATTTAACAATAGATAAGAGTTCTTAATATTTTTTGTGACTCATTCTGAAGTGTTGATAAAATTTGTCTTTATTATCGATTAAATAAGGAGATAAAGTAGCAAATTCACTTTCTGTGTTTCGCTTTTTACAAATTTCATGCACACATTTATTACTCTTTCTTTTTGGATGTTTATTTTGTTGTTCCTCTTTCTTGCACAATAAACTAATAATACTAATTCTTGAATCCATCTTCCATGAAATATATAAATCCACTTACTGAGCTGACGTGATTTTGCTGGTAAATGCGCATTGCAGCATTTAATTCCGGGCTGTAGTGATGCGTTTCGTTGCCGCCCTGTGCGCGCGTACCATTGAGGGAATGTGTAAACCTTTTTAATCATTTAGTAAATTACTACAGAGTAGGAATACAACGAAAGAAATATTGCAAAGTTACAAATATTAGCGTAATAAAGAAATTATAGGCCATTTATAGGTAATTATAGCCAAAGGTATATAGGCCATTTCACGCATCAAAGAGTTGTTAATGCCATCAAAGAGTTTGCTGGACCTGTATAAAATATCAAGTGACTCTGTGCTTGAAATGTAATTATTTTATGAAATTTGGTACTTGTTCTTGCTAATTATACACTGCAGATCAAAAAAATCCGGACACTTGCATTTTGTATTTTTATGAAAAAAATTTCAGTCTATAGTGGTTTTAATGGGAAGGGCGTTAATGATAAAAAACATTCATTTATAACAGTAAAAACGGTTCTTTTAATGTTTTAAATGATCGCGTCGCCATAGAAACAAAATTTTGACATTTGGCAAAAAATGATACTTTATCTTGTTTACTAGCAACATATTTTTTGCATTTTTGTTGCATTTACAATAAGTTTCACGTTTATTCTGATAAATTCAGATCACTGCCCGTTATTATTTCCAAATCGTGTTGTCAAAAAATTGGTCGCAGTATACGTTATATTGCAAATCATTTGAATATTACCAAAAGCACCGGCCATGATGCTCTTACGAAGTATCATCTGGCTGGAAAATTGTGGCTAAAAGACCAGGATCAGGCAGAAAGGGGTACAGAAATCAGCGTGATGACGTTTTTTTAAAGATTTTCGCATTACGGAACCGCGCTTTAACGTCACATGTTCTCGCTAGTCGTTTGTTAGAAGCTCGAGGAACTCATATTTCTGTACGAACTGTAAGAAGTTGGAAGTGCATGGCAGTGGTTTACGTTCTCATAAGCCGGTAGCATGGCAGCAGCTCATACAGCTAACAGGATGAGATTTACGAATGATTCGCAGAGTCTGGACGGTTCGGCAATGGAGTGTTGTAATATTTTCTGACTAGTCTCGTTTTTGCTTACGATCTCCAGACGGACGCGAACGTGTATGGAGGAAACTGACCCTAAAAACGATTTGCACCTTGCTGTATTTCACCCAGAACGCCGTTTGGTGGTGGAGGTATTATGGTATGAGCGGGAATTTTTTTAACGGACGCACTGAATTAATTTTCATCGAGAAGGGAACTCTAACAGCAGAGAGATACATACGACAGTGTCTGAAGGATAATGTTGTATCCTGCGATGCTTTAGTTGGGAATAATTTCTTATTTACGCACATACTGGGCGAATCGTCATAGACTACCTAAATAGTGTCGGAATTTCCGTTTTGGATTAGCCCGCTTGTAATCCAGACATGAATTATTATCAGACATCCATTAGAACATTTATCGGGCATTTTAGAGAAAAAGATTAAATTATTTCTGGTAACCATTGCAACCATTGCCAGAAACGATTCAAGAGCTGAAAATCCCGCTAAATAAAGAATGGAAAATATACTGCAAGAACAGATTCATCAACTTATTGCAGGTATGCCTACACAATAAATTTAAAGAACGGCCAACTGTGGATAATTAAAATTTTATTTTTTTCTTTGTTTAATTTTTCGAACAATGTTACTTACTATTTTCGTTTGTGTTACTTATTTTTCCAATTATTACTTTTTTTGCATTTTAAATAAAATATTTCTATTATTAATGTTTACTTCTTCTCCATTTAAACTACTTGCCTAAATAATTAAAAAAAAAACAGAAAATGCAAAGGATGTTTTGAGAGGGGTGTCTTAACATATTTTCAACAGAAAAATAATGTGTTTAAAACAAAATTATACCGTTGGATGAAATGGATTAAACTAAATTTACTTTACCGATATTGAACTTCAATGTTGCGTATGCTGGAAGGAAATTGTTGAAATAAAAGTTGAAATTTGTATCGTTTATAAATTTTATCGTGTAAGTGCATCTATATAAATAATATACAGCATCTATGTAAGTTTTAAATAATGAAAAATAAACTAAATGGCTGATTATGAGTCGGCAGTTTGATTTGCTTTGCCATGCATTGTACCTATGTAAAGTGGCTAATAAGGTAACAGCGTAAAGTGACATTTAGAAAAACCATAGGAAATCCACGTTAACTCCAGACTTTCTAAATATTTTTAAAATTTCGCCTGTCAATCCAATAACCATGTCAGCTAAAAGAAAGACTAGAGATTTAGAACAGATCAAGTATAAGTTGCGCAAAAATGGGAAGACCGAGCAAGATGGAAGTCAATTTAATGAGTGAAAATAGCGACAATTATAAAGATCCTTATATACATACATACAAACATACATAAATAGCACAGGCCGAACTATTATAAGCTCATACTTTAAAAATAATCATAATAATATTTTACTTAATCAACATATCTGGAAATATTTTCTATTAAAGTCCAAGTTGATCACTTTACTGAAAAAATGCGAGTAAGGTCCTTAAACAAAACCTCACAGAGATATGGTAGGACTTAAATCTTAAGTTTAATCAGGACTATTCTTAGAGTACTACAATATTTAATTAACAATTTGACAGTGGTCTTTTCGCGAAATCTCAGTTCAAGGTAGCATTACTGCGTCTAGATGACAATAGTACTAGCTGCTGGTCCGTCTCACTGTACTGTAGTCATTTAGAACGTACACTTTTTTTCTTCTTCCTCTTGAAGAATCCACAACACTTTGTTTCGTCCACGATTTCGACTTCGACCGGTTGAGTAATGGGAGCGTTGCTATGGCCTGCAGTAGGATCATCTGTATTAAGTTCTCCGTTTGTGGAACTCACCACCTGGACAGATCCATGTCGGTCAGCGGGAGTGAGGTTTCCTAAAGCACTTTGTTTGGACGGATTTTGCCAACCGCCGTAGAAAGCAATCCTTTTTGGAGAGAGCGGTTTATCTGATATGAGACCTTCATGAGCATTAGTTTGAAGAGCACTTACAGGGGTACTCATCGTCTTGCCTGACCAATCAAACTCTCCATCATCGGTATATCCTTTTTTATTAAATAAAGAAATGAACAATTCTCTTAAGTATTCATAGTCAGGAGTTTCAAAAAAGTCTAATTGCCTTACATATCTTAGATATGCCGCCATCTCTTCAGGATGACCATCACATAAAACAAAAATGGGAGTGGCACGTTTCGTGTCTCCGATCTTTTGATACCTCTCTTTTAAGGTATCTGCTTTTAATCCTTGCCAAGGCAAAGATCCCCTCAGAAAGTACATAAACATATGTCCTAGAGCCTCAAGATCGTCCCTTCTAGATTGTTCTTTACCTAAATGAGTATTTATCGACATATATCTGGCTGTACCCGTTAGAGATTTGTGCTCTCTGTAGGGTATGTGTTTATTAGTCTCCAGTTCAATATATTCTTTAGCTAGTCCAAAATCTATAATGTGAATTACTTTCTCTTTGTTAGTACTACTCCTTCCAATAAGGAAGTTCTCTGGTTTAATGTCTCTATAAATAAGGTGTCTAGAGTGAACGTATTCTATACGATGAAGCAATTGAATTGCAATCATGAGCACAGTCTTTAATGAAAATTTTCGATCACACATGTCAAATAAGTCTTCCAAACTGGGACCCAGCAGTTCCATGACTAAAGCATTATATTTACCACAAGGTCCAAAGTAATAAACGTCAGGTACACCTTCGTGAGTACCTAAGAGTTTGTAAAATCTATATTCTAGATGAAGTTGAGGCGCTTTGGATTTCATCGGTTCCATTTTGATAGCGACGTGTTCGTTATTATATAAATTTTTACCTAATCTCAGTTCTCCAAAATTGCCACAGCCGATCTTTTTACCAACCCTGTAGTTAGGTCCCACCATCAGGACTCCCGAGCTGGAATTGACATTGTGGCGGTTCGAGTGTGCGTCCGTTGCATTGTGACGTTTTGAGTTTTTCTGTTTCTGGTCTTTCTCCATTGTGAGCTATTTGGTTGTTGAATATTGTGGATACTATTAACGAATTGTGTGCAGTTTATGCAAATTTGTGAAGGAGTATCAATCACATCTTGAATATCACAGATGTTTTAGTAAGAACATGTATATTCTCGATCAATCAGGAAAATCGTAGGTAAACCATTAGAACAGCTCCTTGAGAACTGAAAAATAAAACATGTTTATTTAGTAATTGATCTTTTCAAGATTATATTGCTAATTAATATTCATAGATTTATAAACATAGCGATACCTTTGTTTTACAAGAAAAAATGGATCAATAAACGGAAAAAGTGTTTGTGTTAGATATTAAAATAATTATCCAGTAAGAAACTATTCCACATTTATTTACTATAATACATTTTTATTAACAAAACATTAATTTGATAATCCGGTATATTAACAAAAATATGTCTGAGTGTTTTAAAAATCCCTAGTTGTAATTAGTGGAGAACTATGAATTACCAAGAAGATAGCCAAGAACCGTCTAATTATTGATGCAGTGAGGACATAAGTACATAATATCTATTAGAAAATCTTGAACGCCCGTACTATTTCATCTTAAAGAAATCGAAAACACAGTTTAGATTCGCTAAATGAACAGTATAAAATAGCCAATCCCGTAACAACTATAACAACTATCTAGATACGCATTTAAGAAATATTAAAATATATAAACTACAAGAAGACCTTCCAGACGCGGATGTGGTAAAAAATTATGGTAAATAGGTATTCGTCCACCACACGAAACTCAACGTAACAATGACAGTAATGTATTAAAAAGCAACATTGACTTAGAATCTATGGAGAGGATATACTTCGGCCATGTTGTTATCATCGTTGTGTCAGATCGTGTATGATTGTTTACGTTTGTTGTTTTTAGAATATTTTTTAGTCTTAATACTTTTATAGTAACTGTAATATTATATTGAGTGCATAATAATAGTTTCTTGTTCTCAACGTAGCTGTAGTTGCCGAAGCAGTAGCAATATTGATAAAAAATCTTCAGGAATAACGTTTCTTAGGTTTGTATACAAATATGTAAACAAAGTAATGGCCTGTATTTCAGAGAATAAATTAATAGTATTCATAAAAAATCTTATAAGTAACGTAGATCAGTTATTTGATTAATTTTTCAGTCATTACTGAATATTTTGAAAAGTTTATTAAATAGCAATTAAAATATCCACATCCAATAAAAAAGAAATAATGAATACACATAATATAAAGATACCAATAAACAATTTTTAAGCTTTTTATAATATATTTTTGAGTTCATGAATCATATTTTTTATTAATATAAATTTGTTATTAATGCTTAGTGATGCATATAATTATATTTTTAGGTTTCATCTCAAATCAACCAAAAGCCGAAAGTTTTATGATCAGAGATACTATCGACGCCAGTTTAGTGATTTATCCTCTTATAATAGTAAATTTTTCCCTTTGACGATCTTCTTCTTAGGGTGCCTGTCCGTTCCGAACGTTGGCGATAATTTTGGCTATGATGACTTTGTTGGTTGTTATACGGAATAGCTGTGTTAAGGTCTTTCTATACCATGCTCTCAGGTTAGCAAGCCAGAATATTCTTCTTCGTCCTGGGGCCCTTTTTCCTTCAATTTTACCTTGCAAAATTCATGTAAGTAGCTCGTATCTGCCTTGATTTCTCATTCTATGTTCCAAGTACTGCACCTTGCGACCCTTCACGATGTTGACCAAATCCGCGGTTGTGTTCATCCTCCATAGTATTCTTCATTGGTGACTTTGTCTGTCCGCGGTATCTTCGGGATTCTTCTGTATAGTAGTGAAGTTTAGATAGAGTTTCCGCCTTCAATGTGCACATTTCTACTCCGTACAGAAACACTGAGTACACATAACATTTAAGGAGCCTTATTTTTGTTTTCAGCGTGAGGTCATGGCTCTTGAACACAGAACTCATAGTCAAGAATGCACTTTTTGTTTTTCCGATGCGACATTTAATCTCTTGGGTATTGTCCCACGACTCATTGATTATAGTTCCCAAGTAGTTGTATTGTGAGACTCGTTCAATTCTCATTTGGTTCACATACAGATTTGCTCCAGTTATGTTTTCCTCGCTGATGATCATTAGCTTGGTTTTGCTGGTGTTTATATCCACTCCATATTTTCTACTTATTTCCGTTATTTTGTTCATTAAGTTTTGCAGCCCTTCTACGGTATTGGAAAACACTATTGTATCATCTGCATACCGCAGGTTATTGAGATTGACTCAATTTATTGAGATGCCTTTATCGATATCTTTTAAAGCGTCTCCAAAAATATGCTCCGAGTACAGATTAAATATCAGTGGTGAAATTATGCACCCCTGTCTCACTCCTCTTAAGATTTTAATCTGATCTGTACATTCTCCATCTATTCGGTGTACCGCTAATTGATTCCAATACACGTTAGCTATTATTTTTTTTTACGAAGTCTTTTTCCGTCAATCTCTATCAAAGGCCTTCTTGTAGTCAATCAGGCATGCAAAACATTACAGCTGACATCTCTACATTTCTGAAACAATATCTGCACGCTAAATAAAGCTTCCCTCGTACCAACGGCGTTCGCAAATCCAAACTGATTGAGCGCAATTTGTTCCTCGCATTTCCGGTAAATTCTTTTGTGGATGACTTTTAAAAACAGCTTCAGCAGATGGCTCATTAGGCTTATGGTCCTATAATCTGCACAAATTTTTGCCCTACTTCCATACTCCCTATAGAGACACCAGATCCCAAGACTTATTTTATTTAGAGTTTCATAATCGAACTTATACTGTAAATAAACCCTTACAGAGAATGTGTAGAAATGAAAATAAATTTAATAGTAATGATTTTTTTTTTCATTTATCACTAAGTACTACTAGGAAGACTCACTAAGACTAAGATCGAAAATACCTTTTTATGTAATCACATTGTGTTTTAATAGTTTAACCTAAATTTAAGTTGATTTGTAAAAATGGCAAGTCCGTAAATAAATAAACATTACACACATTGTACAATAAAATTATTCTACAAAATATAGGAGTGCAATCCTATATATACTTCTCCAAGAAATTAACGCACCACTTTGAAATATTAAAATATTTTATTATCGTTAATAAAAATTTTTATTGTAATGTTATATTTTGCAAGCCCCTCGTATATGCTATTCGTACACTCTATATTTATTGACTGTGTTTTATCGCTATAGTTTTTTTGCAACAAAACAAAAAGAAGCAAAAAATGTACTAATTTTATAAATATACTAATTTCCAAGTGTTCACGAATTTTATTCGGTTACTGTTTAATTGTTGATTATTGTTAATTGTGTTTATTATGGAGCGTCATTCACGTAATTTAACCCGAGATGAATATGCCCAAGCAGTGATACTGTCGGAAGAAGGTTTGAGTTACCGAAGAATTGGTTGTCGGTTTAATGTGTCTCACACATCCGTCACACGGGTGTTGGAAAGATTCCTCGAAACAGGGGATCATACTCGCAGACCAGGACAAGGACGAAACCGGGTAACTACCCCTATTCAAGATCGATTTTTAAGAATTTCTGCTCTTCGACAACGTTTTGTAACACATCGAAGTCTACAAATTCAGCTTCGAGACGTGCATGCTATACAAATTAGTACTGAAACTGTTCGCCAAGGACTTAGGGAATACAACTTAACACCTAGGATTGCCGCCCGAGGTCCTCTATTAACTGCAGAGCATCGAAGGGAGAGACTACATTTTGCCAGAGAACACGTTAATTGGTTAGAGGCTAACTGGGAACGAGTGCTATTTACTGATGAATCCCAATTTTGTTTGTACAATAACGACAGACGTGTTCGTGTGTTGCGATGACCCAACGAACGATATTCTCAATGCAACTTCTCACACACCACATTTTTTGGTGGAGGATCCGTTATGGTGTGGGGTGGTATTTCTTTGACCGCACGTACGGACCTAGTGGATATACAAAATGGAACTGTTACAGCGGGAAGGTACATATTGGAGATGCTGGAGTAGCATGTAGTACCATTCGCTCCTTATATCGGTAAACATTTCTTACTAATGCAAGATAATGCCAGACCTCACGCTGCACAGATCGTCAGAAATTATCAAGAAGAGTTAGAAATGAACACTATGGAATGGGCAGCACATAGTCTAGATTTAAATCCGATTGAAAATATCTGGGATATACTTGGTAGGCGATTAAAAGTGACACCGCTCCAACCAAACAACTTACAGGAAGTGGGAGAGAGGCTGATGCAGATTTGGAGAGAACTAGACCAAAATGAAATAAGGCAATTCATTTTAAGTATGGGCCAACGATCTGAGGCTGTTATACATAGTAGAGGTGGAAACACTCGTTATTAAGACTTTTTTCATATTTTAGTTTACTTTGCTTACCATTATTTTTTTAGAATTTTCCGTTTTATTTTTTTTTTCTCCTGTACTTCAACATTTTCTGATGATTAGACAAATTGTTATAATTACTAATAAAATGTAGAATAAATCTGGTGAAGTTTTATTTTTTATTCTTTGCCTGTTTACAAATAAAATTGATTTATTGAAGTGGTGCGTTAATTTCTTGGAGAAGTGTATTTCAAAAGATTGCATTTGTGATGCATTTCCTGTATCTTATCTAAACTCATTACTTTTCGAGATATTTTTAATTTTCTTCAAATTTCAGAAATATCTTCAATTTTTGTAGAAGTAGAAATAACTTGGTCTTGTGTAATAATATAAAAAAAAATATTTTAGTCATTAAATAACTAATACAAAACATAAATGAAAACAATATGCAATATAAATGTAACAGTTTTTACATTAGTGTTATATCAACAGTATTCTAAGCCGAGAAGTTTTTAGTAAAACATTCGTATAGTCGGTCTGAGTGACTTGTTCGTAATTTTAAAAATATATTTTTCTATAGAAAAATTAATTAACAGATATGATTTGGGTATTGGAAATTCGAAAAACTGCCTACGTGCATCCAGAATACATTAACAGTGATATACTGAACATAGGAAGCCAAAAGTCAGTGCTTTTGGAAAATTAATGATCGTTTTGTTCGCATTGGATCGGTTATATAAGAAACAAATGAGAGAACCAAAACTGTTATAAGTGAAGAAAAGGAATATGATGTACTGTTAGTTACTACTGAGGATCCT